AACTACGCACTTATCAAACACAACTTTTGATGGCCTGTCACATTTAATGTGATGTTATGTCTATTATTCAAGAGGTTGAATACGTTTGAAAGTGTCAGAAAAGGATGTAAAAAGTGTAAAGCTATATGTAACGGTGACATCTCTTTTTGAAGTGGTTATGCCTCTAGTTTGAAGTGATGGGGCGGCAGGTAGCTTAGTGGTTAAGAGCGTTGTGCCAGTAACCGAAAGGTCGCTGGTTCTAATCCCCGAGCCGACTAGGTGAAACATCTGTTGATGTGCCCTTGAGCAAGGCACTTAACCCTAATTGCTCCTATAAGTCGCTCTGGATAAGAGCGTCTGCTAAATGACGTAAATGTAATGCTGCATTTGTATTATCATTTCAGAGTTCATGCTCAACAGCTCTCCACCCACGAACTACTTGGAATGTTGAGACTCTTCTCCTATGAGTGCTAATATTTACTCACTGCATCAAGAGGAGTCAGTAAGTGACAACTGCAAATGAGAACTATATTCAACCCATGTTCAATTCAATCCAATCTAAAATCCTGTAGGCCTACCTCATTCACAAGCCTATTGATTTTTTTTTTCCCTGGGATGTTCACAAACTCATCTGGAACAGACCTTGCTTATTTTCTCAACTACCTCTCAAAACTCACAATAGCTCTGAAAAATAGCAGCTCCAGCTCTTTTATGTTTACACATCCACAGATCACAACTGCAGTGTACTTCATGTTTCAAGTTACTGGATTTCCATTCAAATGTATACAAAAAAGCGCTTTCATGCAAAACATTTTTAATGAGCTGTGAATGCCAATTTCAAAGCTTTTTAAACAGAACAAATGTCCTGTATCTTTTCATGACATTTTACAAAAATACTCCTTGTTTCCATTGTTTGCCTTAATTTAGGTGTAGTGCTGGCCCGGGCATCCTGTCAGATTGTCAGAGGGAGTAGAGGAGCTGAAGGATGCCCAGTACACTCTTGGAAAAAAGGGTTCCAAAAGGGTTCTTTGGCTGTCCCCATAGGAGAACCCTTTTTGGTTCCAGGAATAAACCTTTTTGGTTCCATGTAGAACCCTTTCGGGAACCAAAAATATTATTCAAAGGGTTATCCTATGGGAACAGCCGAAGAACCCTTTTAGGTTCTAGATACCACCTTTTTTTCTAAGAGTGAATTAGGCAACATATCAGAGGTCCCATATAACTGTGCTGTTAATAACATCCAAAGACACACACCCCCAGGCCTGACCCTGCAGGTCTACTGAAATTAAAATCAAGCCTTTGGCCCGAGGGCTGTTTCCAATACGAGCTGTTCTGTCAGCAGTATTTTATTAGAATCATCCTGTTCTCAAAGACAACAGTGAGAACAGAAAAAGAACACATGGCAAGAATGAAAGAGTGGGGGCTTCTGTCTATATCTCTGCATCCATCTTCTGACTGCAATCCATTAATTGTCCTCAGTTAGTGGTTATTCTGTTGCAAAGTTCATTAGTGAAATAAAGTAAGATTGATGGATGGAAGTGAGAGACATTTAGAGGCCCATCTCTCCCTCGCTCATCCCTGTCTGGAGGATGGGGGGGAGGGACTGCCTTCAGAGGGCAGAGGGATGGATGGCTGACACTCCTCCTTTACATTGGCATTCACGCAGTGGATGGCATCATCCATACTTCAGAGGAGAGGAGAGAGAGAGAGTTTATGGCCTTTAGAGTGATGACGAGGCATTGTTTCCTGGGCAGCTCAGAGTGCCAGCACTTTTTAACACCCACTCCACTCCACAACGTTGTTTACAGTGGAAAGCCACTCATGATTATATAGTATGAGATTACTGTATGTTACAGGTTGTCCAACAGGAAATAAAAACATTAATCCTTTACGTAATGGACGTGTGTTGGCGTATCTATTGAATATCTCTTAGGTTTTCTTGATTTTGCATTCCAGAAAAAATGAATAATGACTGTCATTTATAAAATGTAATAAATGGATCACTTTAAATCACTACACACATTCCCCCTGTCTCGCTCTGCCTGCACTAAAAGGGTTGAGTCACCCTGTAGTAACCTTGTGTTTGACTTGTATTGTCATTAGCAAATCAAACGTGGATTAATTAGCCAGCAGTCCCGCGGGACGTGCATTACAGTAAGTGATTATTTTAATATAACTTCAAGAAAAATTGCCAATAGTCTTTCACATTGACACCAATGCTTTGCTGCTTTTGGAAGTGCTGCTACTGTCATTAAGTATGTAAATTGATTGGCTAAGTGTCAGAAAGCCCATAAATGCATTAATACAAGTACAAATGGATCTCTCTTTCTTAGAAATGGTTGTCACCCCTTTCCCCCTCGCTACTCTCTCCCCCCCCTCTCTACTCTACCCCCCCCTCTCTACTCTAGCCCCCCCCCCCCCCCCCCCCCCCCTCTCTCTCTCTCTCCCAAAGTATACACTCATTTACACATCAACTGTTACATTATATACTTTTTACATTCACAATAGCAGTTTAATGTGTGACATCCAAAAAACTGCCATATTTACCTAGACCATCGCTAAGCTACTGTATCTACAGTATACAGTACACAAATACATAGTTGGAAAGAAACATCTTAGGGTGAAAAAGTAACAATCTCGGTTACGTAAACAGTAAATACCATCTACAATGGACATAAACCCTATTGTGGTGTTCCTGCTGTATCAGTGTTTGTAGTGAAGATGGAGAGCATGTGTTGTTGCTCTGCCCCCAGCCCTACTGCTGTATCAGTGTTTGTAGTGAAGATGGAGAGCCTGTGTTGTTGCTCTGCCCCCAGCCCTACTGCTGTATCAGTGTTTGTAGTGAAGATGGAGAGTCTGTGTTGTTGCTCTGCCCCCAGCCCTACTGCTGTATCAGTATTTGTAGTGATGCTGTTATATTCTGCCACGCTCTGACATTTGCAAACCCACCGTGACTAGCTTAGCCAAGGGAAGGAGAGGGAAAGGAGAGGCCAAATCACAGTGGGATCAGCCGAATGTTGCTGCTTGAAGGAAGCATACCCTGAAAGTATATAGAATTGTCATGATAATCTTGTAAAACAACATCCAATCACATAGTTGACCTCCAAAGGCTGCAAATGTTGCCATTTCATGTATTTTAAGAGGTATGTCTGTCCAAAAGGGACTCTTAACTACTGTACTCCTAAACTATCTCATTGGTGTACTAACAGTAGCCCCTGCTGGCAAGAGGGAGAACTTTTTACATACAAGGAGGTTACAGAACAGACAATCACACATAGCCAACGTCAGTCCTGTGAGCTGATTAATATTACACACATTTATATTTTAGTCATTTAGCAGACGCTCTTATCCAGAGCAACTTACATGAGCAATTAGGGTTAAGTGCCTTGCTCAAAGGCACATCGACAGATATTTCACCTAGTCAGCTCAGGATTAGAACCAGCAACCTTTTGGTTACTGGCACAATGCTCTTAACCACTAAGCTACCTGCCGCCCTGTACACACAGTACTATTCGTATGCAATTAATATCAAATATTAAATGATAAATGGGGAATTAATTAATATTGACAGCAAGTGAGAAGAGGGAAAGGAATGTGTGGAAAGGGATGTGTGAAATACAGAGGAGGCTGGTGGGAGGAGCTATAGGAGGATGGGCTCATTGTAATGGCTGGAATGGAATAAATGGAACGGAGTCAAACATGTGGTTTCCATATGTTTGAAGTGTTTGATACCGTTCCATTAATTATATCCCAGCCATTACAATGAGCCTGTCCTCCTATAGCGCCTTCCACCAGCCTCCTCTGGTGGAATCCTGTTTGTTGAGGATTAAACACATGCCATCCTTCTACTCTCCACTAGAGGTCTTCATCACACTGACTTCCTGCTGAAAACTGATATCGAATTGATGAGGCCAAATTACCAATCTGCCACACTTCCACTCTAATACACAGCCTAAAATTCACAATGCAGACTTACAGTGCAAATGCAATATAAATTATCATTTGACATGTATTTCCCCAGTAATACTCTCATTACTTTACCTGCGTTTTCTTCTTGACACTGAAACAGTTGTAATCAGAGAGGAGATGGGGGCTGAAAGATGACCCACTGACCGTAAAAGGCATAATACATCCCTGCCCACCTCAGAATCTCAGAACCTCCCTGATATCACACTGATTTGGCAAAAATTATTCTATTTCTATGGTACCCGCATATGTCAATGTCCCCAATATAGTGTTTTTGACCCTGTCTCAGAGACAACATATAAAATGCATTTATTTGGCAGTGGCACAATGTGTCATATATTCCCCTCATATTCCCCTTACATTTCTCTTGACACTATTATTGACTGTGTTGCCCCTGTCCAGAGAGTTCCTCCTCTATATGGTTCCCAAGCACGACTACTTTCAAGTCACCCTGGAGTAAACACAATAGTTGCTAAGCCAACTTGGAGCAGGATCCACAGGGCAAACACTCAAGAAGCCAGGAGAAAAGTTAACAATGGAGCCTGAACTGGGGTTGGTGGGGTTGGGATGGAGTTTTTTTTTTTACTAGATGGGTTACAGATTTAGGCAGATTTGACTTTTCGTAGCAGGTTAGCAGAATTTACGCAGCAGGTTAGGAGGATTAGGTTAAAGTTAGGAAAAGGGTTAGGGTTGGCGAAAATGCAAAAAATCAACTTTTTACGTTTATTTGACAAAAGCTGTATCCATTTATAGCCATGACCGTGGCGGGGTACACTCTTAGAAAAAAAGCTGCTATCTAGAACCTGAAAGGGTTCTTCGGCTGTCCCCATAGTAGAGCCCTTTGAATAACCCTTTTTGGTTCCAGGCAGAACCATTTTGGTTCCAGGTAATATTAAGCAAATTGTGCACAATGTTAATAATTTGCCCAGTTGTAAAATACTACCAACGGTTTTTCGATTTGCATAGAGCAGAGTTACATAACTTTCTCTTGAATATGGAATCATATCTCTCACACACAAGGGCAAAACGGTAACCGATACACGTCCCTGCTGGAGATGATGACCAAAACGAATAGTCTACGTAGCCTACAAACAAGAGGCGCAGTGACTGAGTGCAAAGAGCGCGTGCCACAAACTTCCTCACAATTTCTCAAACTCTCAGAGAACGAAGAGGGGAATAAAATATCGACACAGCGAACAATAATTTCGCCGTAAACAGTGTGGTGATATCGAGAAATTATCGTATAACCTAGATACATAATTTTATCGAAGGCATCATCACCTTGCCGTTTCCAGTTTTCACCTGTAAATCTACTGCGCGAGAATTCACAGAAGAGAGTTTCAGTGAATAATTTTCAGGTGAGTAAAAATTTCAGTGGCAGTATTTCCAATTCAATAGGTTGGCATTGTCATTAACTTTAGTTGACTTTACTGTAAACGTTAAGTCTGCGTAATGTATTAATACTACAAACTTTAAACATTATCTTTCTTAAAAATTACACTGCTAATAAATGCTAATCTACCAAATTATTAATTGTGCAATGAATTTGCAATTAATCATCAGTAACAAAGTAGCCAACAGTAATTTGAAACTGCAATTGGTCTTGTGTAAAGTTGTTTTTAATGAAATAGCAAGATCGATTTGATTGACAATCGTGTGTTGGACAGAAAGTGCATTAGTGAATTCATTAGGCCTACATCACCTCTTGAATACACTTATCTTGCAACATCCTGTATTATTATCCTTGTTCATAAACAGTTTGGTCCTAATCACAATATGTGAACTTAGAATTTATATAATTGTATTACATTGTAGACATGCTTGAAAATGAATGTAATATTTTGCATTTGTATGTGAGAGAATAGAGTAGACTATATGTGACCGACCAGCTTGATTCGGTCTTATGTAGCAAAATTTGAAATTGTGTTTTTTACATTGGATAAAAAAGTAGAGACTCAGAGCTAGATAATGGTATATCATACACTAAAGTTGAGGAACAATGGGAAAGTAATTCTGCTTTGAAAGTTGATGAACTTGTAACCTCACTTATGAGAACATTCTATTGTCGTCCGACATCAAACTTATCGTTATGAAAAAGTATAAACACAAAAACTACAGGCTACATGGCATCAGCAGCCTGGTGGTCCAAAATAGTATAACTGGTGTATTTTAACACCAATAAACCCACCCGTTTAAAAATGAATTTAGTATATGTCAATCTAGCAAACAGGCAACTAAAAGCAACTTTCTAAACAATGTTTTGGTTAATTTCTAGCTTGTTAGCTAGCTAGCTAATGTTAAGTTAGCTGGCTAGCCAGTTCAAATAATGGCCATATCATATAGCTGACAACGTCTTCACTTTAGCTCATTTGTCTTCATTATTACAGGAAAATAAACTCTCACAACAAGATCATTATTTACAAGTTAATGGCGAGCCAATTACAGAAAATAGCTTACGGATGTGAGTGTGATGAAATAAAAGCAGGGCATTCTACCTGATATTTTTTTTACTTGGACACTGTCTGGTTGGCCTAACGTTATATCCTAATTTGACTTTGGTGCAGGTCACGTTCTTCACATTACTGTCTCTGGTAAACACATACTATATCAAATAAAATCAATGTTTATTTGTCACTTGCACAGGATACAGAAGGTGTAGTGAAATGGTTACTTGCATAGAGTAGTCTTTTGTTTAGACATGTAGCTAGCTAGCTAAACAATGAACCATAATCCCAACTCATAACATTACTACCCTGCATGAATCTGCAGGTAGCTAACCAACCAGGTTCAATGTTAGCTAGCTAGCTAACATTAGGCTATAACTAGCAATGCAAATGGCTCTGAGATACGAATAATATCAGATCATACACGTAACGTTAGCTAGCGAGCCAGCAGCTAACGTTAGCTAGCTAGCTAACAGTATGCTTTAACTTGAAATGAAAACGACTTTGACGAAATTAGAAACTTATAATATCTGAAAATGTAGCTAGCTAGACTATCTTACATGGATGGACGCATCTCCCTCTCTGTCACAGATGCCATGGTTGCCCTTAGTTAGAAGATTTAATCCGGAGGCAGATTTTTATACAACAGACTTCTGTTTGTTCTCTTTTCGACTCCCTCCGCACATTTGCAATCAAACGCCAGAATTTTCTCCATCTCCTTAGCTATCATACTCTGCTTCCACCGGGCATTCCACTGATTTCAAAACTCGGTCCTCCAGAAAGTGGAGAGCAACACTTTTGCAGTTATTTGTGATATCTTTTTTTAAACGCGTTAGAAAGGATTGCCTACACATACTGAGCAGCCCTTTGTTATAGACAGAAGCGTGTTACATGGCAGACCAATCCGAACTCATTTCTTGGCATTTCCAGCCAATTCATTATCTCAGCCAATCATGGCTAGCTGGAAGGTTCCTGTCTTTTTCCATGGCTAAACCAACTAGGCTCGTAATTTAACAATGTTATTCGTATTTACCGATGGCATACAAGTTTGTTATTAAGGCACATGAAAGTTCACATGTTCCAGAAGGCATTTCTGCCAAAAAACGCATTTTGATAAAAAAAGTTTACGTTCAAATGCCTCTCCTGTGAAGTAGTGACGCACGACATACACCTAGTTTCCTGAAACGGGTCACATATGGCAACATATTGTTTTGAAGATATCAGTGAATTCTTCCGTATGCCAGTTATAGTTTGTGTTCTCCCTTATTACACATTACTATAAATATGTGCCTGTCTCACTGATATATTTCAGATGCCTTTGTCCATATGGACAGACCACTGAGGGCCCGAAGATGCAGGAAAGGGAAAGGAGATACATAGTCAGTTGGACAACTGAATGCATTCAACCGAGAGATGCTGATTTAGCTGCTGCTCTTCCTCTTCTGCCAGACTCAAGCATTACTTTTGAGAAGAGGAGCATTGTTGGACAAGGCATTATTTTCTCCTAAACTCTCCAAGGCTGTTTGTTTAGAAGACACTGGGTCAGACATGAACGGTAAGGGCTGTCATCTCCTGGTCTCCCCCTCTGGTGTGCCCCCTTCGCTGGGCATGATCACAGGACAGCAGGCCCCCTCCATCAGGATACCTATACGCACCACCCTCTCCCCGGGATGCTGTGCCACCCTGAGCCCCTCTCCGGTGGGTAGCAGGGGCAGAGGAGGGGGTGTCCAACACTCCCAAGTACCCCTTAGCTCCAGGACAAACTCTGGGAATTCTGGGAGTTCTGTCCTGCTTCCTGCCCTGAGCCTCCGCAAGCAGGTGTTGACCAATGGGAAACAGCCAAATGTTTTAGGTGTCTCACAGATGTCATGGCAACAAATGCCCACCCTTCAACTCCCACCCACCAGCCTTGCAGCCACCAATCAGGGCATGGCGTCCGACTGCTCTGACAGTGGTGTCAAAGGTAAGTTCTTCCAAGCCTTGTAAATAAACAACGTTAAATACAGAGTAATACATTTACACATGGGTAAACACCCAATGATGATATCTTGACCTTCTATGTAAGATAACTGTTATGGACTTGAGCAGCCTCAGCCTTTGTCCCATCAGTAGGATATAGTGTGACCTTAATGACCTTAGAGCAGTGGTCATCACTCAACATGCTAACTGCTGATACACTTGTAAGTGAGGATGTCACTCCAAATAAGTCGGAAGTGTCCTATTGAAGTAACCAGTTGCTGTTTCCTACCATAAACTATTATTTAAAACTTAAATCTTTTTGAGGAACTCTTCTTCCCTCTCAACTGAAAGATCCCAGTGTGCACATGTCCTAGAACAGAAGACAGGCTCACAGTGATATGTTGTAAGCAGAGTCGTTCAATCAGCCCCTCTCTTTTCCCCTCTCTTGAAAGTAGCACTGATTTACTGTACATAGACGTCTTCATACTTCACTTTACCTCAATGTCGTCCGCCCACCCTAACCTACGCTCCTCCCCAGACCTCCTTTCTCCCTGGCCTGTTTATTGATAATTAACCAAGCAGAAAGCTTGTCCCTAAATGAGCCAAGGAGGAAAAAGAGGAAGAACAAAAATCTAATCGGTTTGTTGGGGGGAATTTCAGGATTCATAAGCTTCCCCTTACAGAAAAAGCATGATTTCACATGTGGAAAATCATGTGAAAACATGTGTTTTTGGAACACTTCACGTGTAATCACATTTTCACATGTGTAGTTTCATGTTATCACATGTTGCTTTACATGTTCACATCTTATCACATTAACTTCACATAAGAGCAAGTGATCACATTAAAATGTGTTTTTGGAACAATTTACATGTGATCACGTGAAATTCATAATCATTCGTAAGGGTCTACTGAACACGACAAAAAACGTTAGGTTTGTGTTTGATTTCTGTTGAAGATGTCTGTCTCATAGGTCCCTGGTGTGCAAACACAGGTTGCTGTGTTAAGATGGTTAAGTGAACTGTGATGGAGATGACCAGACCCTGAACCGTGGATTAATTGCATCTCTATCAAAGTCAGATACTGCCAGTGCAAACTAGAAATGTGTGTCAGATACAGTATGATGACAATGGTTGGATGCAAATGTCAATGCCACAACCACATTGAAGCCTACAGTAGTTGAAGCGCTCACTACAAATACACACAGGGAGAGTTCTCCACAATCTTCTTTCTATTATATAGACAAGTTGTCTTGTCTATAATTTACTTAGAATAGCTTAATTCTATAATTAATTAACTTACGAAAGTGGTTATTTTTAATCTTGTTTCAAGCTGTGTTGAACAATGTTGATTGAAAGACTTTAGAACAAGCAGCAACACTGGAATGTTGAGGCTGGAGTGCTCAGATATAGACTTCTGATTCAATATGATTTTTGTAATACAGGGTTTTTTCTGGATAAAAAGGGAGTTATGGTGGTGGGCGTGGGAGGAGGCGTGGTAATGGCCGCAGTCGGCACGGCTGAATTTTAGAGTAAACCCCATCTTGGTGTAGAGAACTTTTTGCATTTGCCAATTTCCTGCAATTCTATACATTTCTACATGGAGCTGAGATTAAAAATAAAATAAAAAATCAGTTTTATAGCTAATTTCCTTCAATTCTACAAATTTTGCCATGGAGCTGAGAGAAAATTGTGCAGTTTTCAAGCTTATTTCCTGCAATTCTATACATTTTGCCATGGCTAATAAGTCTGTGTTCGTTTCCTCAAACATAATAACAAAACCAATACTGCTAAATTCATAGTTTTTTTTATTTTCAACTCTCCCTGACTGTCTAGCTTTTATTTTGGTGATTGTTAGTTCTCAAAGATTATATTATAAAAAATACTTTATATCTGGTTTTAGTCATTAAAGTTTACACTGAAAGCATTTTTCCAACCCATAATGTTGACACTGTTTTGATTTGTAAAGTATATGGTCTAATTTCCTATGTCCCTGTATAGTATGACCTTGGTGGTGAACCCTCAACCCTCTAATGGTGAACTTGTCTCTACCAGGTTACTCTGTCTCAGGACCAAGTATGCAGGTGTTGGGCCAGCAGGCTGGTGCTAACCTCTGGGTCACCAGTAGTCCCATGGTGGTCCAGAGCCTGGGCCCAGTGTCTCCTGTCACGGGCCAGGCCTACACCTCTGAGCCTCTGGTACCACATCCCCAACCCCCACAAGGCCTGGTGGTACCGTACACAGATGCCAGGTGAGTCAACCTCTACACCACTCTAGGTGAGGGAGTATACCGCCAAACTCTTGTCATTACACTGATTTCTGTGCTACGCTAAACAAAATCAACATACAGTACTCTATTAAACAGTTGTGATACTCATTTGTGAGATTTCCCTGGTACTTACTTACATAGTACGATGTGTTGTTTCTCAGGTCCTTGCTCTCCAGAGAGTCCCTGGCATCCACCACCCTGAGCCTAGCAGAGACCCAGTCAGTTCTGAGTGGCAGACAGGAGTGGCCCTATGGCTACCGGGTCCTTCCTCCACTCTGCCCACAACAGGGTTCCACCCAGGCCAGCGATGGGGGTGAGCTGCTCAGCCTGCCCCCTGGCACTGCCATGTCCGGGGGCACCAGCATCTCCAACTCTGCCTCCCTGCCCTCCTACCTGTTTGGGGGAGATGCCAACAGCCCCCGGCAGTACTCAGCCCGCTCCAAAAAGAGGGCCCTCTCCATGTCACCTCTGTCAGACGGCTATGGCATCGACTTCAACGCCATCATTCGTACCTCGCCCACCTCGCTGGTGGCTTACATCAATGGCTCCCGGAGCTCTCCAGCCTCCCACCACACCCTTTCACCCCTCCAGCCTGAGGTCTATGGCCACTTCCTGGGGGTAAGAGGGAGCTGTATCCCCTATCCTCAGCCTCCAGGCCTCCGCAGCCTCCCAGGCTCCACGCTGGCTCTGACCCCACTGAGTGACCCCCACCATGGGATGGATTGTGGCCGCATGCAGAGGCTGGAGCAGGGCGGGGCGCTGGAGAGCCAGATGGCTAACATGGTGGTGGAGCAGCAGTGTCTCCCAGAGGCGGGAGGGACACCACAGAGGGCTGCCAGGAACACTAATGACCTGGTACCATCTCTACACTTTCAGCTAGAGTTGGCCACCATCATCAGATCAGATAGTCCACCGCAGGGCCCCCCGCCTCCCTACCACTCTCACCAGCACCGCCACCTCCAAAGACCCCCTAGCCACATCCAGGGTCAGGCCCAGTCCCAGGGCCCTGTCGCTCAGGCCCCCCCAGCTCCCCCTGGGCATGGGGCCAGCCTCGTGCCCCATCCCCTGTCCCTGTTCCCCATGCTGGAGGAAGAGGAGGGGGAGCTGGAGGACTACAGTAGGGGGCACTGCTGCCGCTGGGTGGACTGCAGTGCTGTGTATGACCAAAAGGAGGAGCTGGTTAGGCACATAGAGAAGCGCCATGTGGACCAGCGTAAGGGCGAAGACTTCACCTGCTTCTGGGCGGGGTGTCCACGCAGGTTCAAGCCCTTCAATGCCCGCTACAAACTCCTCATCCACATGAGAGTCCACTCTGGAGAGAAGCCCAACAAGTGCACGGTACATAGCAAATCAATCTCTGGTGAAGGCCTCAAAACTGTCTTTAACATGCAAGTGTGTATCTGTTTAGTCATCCACTTCAGAATCCATTGGCTTTACCTGAACCAAATTTTACCTCAGCTTTACATACATCCCCCTTATGCACAATGGTTAACATCCTTTTTTCCATAAGTGTGTTACAGGGGGTTCCCTTCCCGACTGTCTCTCCTGTCTACTGTGAGTCAACCAGCCAGGGAAATAGACATCTTGAAGTACGCACGTTGTACCTCTTTAATGCCTTTGTGTACTCTGATGTACGTTTGAAGGCTGAAGGTTGGGGTCAGAAATATGGTCTTTCTCCTCTTAACTGCTGCCACGGGCTAATTAGCCAGCTCTGTGATAATTGACATGGGAGTTAACTCAATTATGTAGTTATTAAATCAGCACAAAGACAGCGCTGTGCTTAAGATCTGGCAGGGCACCAGTCAGTAAGCCTCCTACTCCCCCCCCCCCCCCTCTCCCCCCCTCTCTCTCTCTCTCTCGCTCTATCAGGCAGTCACAGGGCCTGTAAGCAGCCAATAAGGCTTATTAGTGCCAAGTCAGGTACAGACTTGGCTGGGGTTCTGGGAAGGTGATGCCCCCTGGCCCGGTTCTTGATCGGTCTGGTTCTGTGGCCAAGGAGAGAGACACTTGAATGGAGTTAATCTGAAAGCCATGTATCCTTGGACATGGTTCTGATGAAGGGATTGGCTTGATTCCCCTGAGACAGGTGCTCCCAGGCCTAGTGCTGCTGCTGCTGGTGGTGCTCTCAAATGTGCCGCTAGAGAAGGCTAAGTTTGGTTCTCTTCCCTAGTCGCTTTTGATGTTTGTTTTCTGTCGGTTGACAGATGAGTTGTACTGCACTGTATATTAGAGCTGGGCGATATTGACACAAATCCATATTGCACTAAATTACCTGAATTGTTGTGATAATGATAAGGATAACAATACGTTTATAACATTAATGTGCACCAGTTTTTTAAATTATCCTTTAAACTACTACTACATGTTTATGGTGGTTGCCATAACAATCACCCATATTAGCAAACTTATTTCAAACTTATTTACATTTCTGTATTATAGGCTACTTATCGTAATGAACAATATCAGCAAAATGCCTGCGATAAGTGATCGGTATGGTCGTTGTCAATAATTTTCTGTTAATCGTCCCAGCTCTACTGTGTTGTAATTGCAGTTAAAAGGTATCCTTCAGGAGCCATAGCAGCAAAACATCTATGCACATTAGTTGCAGTAATGAGCTTGGGCTCTGTTTTAGGATCATTAAACTGGATGAGTAGAGTTAACTGGGTTTCCAAGGAGAGAACATCACACTCATACTCAAGATCCTAGTCTGGATGATTGTAGAGATACCCCGCACCCTCAACCCCACTGGGAACATACTTGAGGTTCAGATGAAGAAGAGACAAGCCATTCTCGTTCCTTGTCTCGTTTCGCTGCTTCTTGGTTAGTCAATTATTAATTGGATGCATACCTGTGGTCGACCTTTCGCTCCAAAACACTCACTTATTAGTGCCAACCAGTCCCGTTGCTATGGAGGCTGCAGCTGCAGTCGGATGGGTCTGTGTGCCATGTAATCTCACCCCCTACCCAAAAACAGAACAGACATTGGGTGTGTCAGAAATGGCGCCTTATTCCCTATTTAGTGAATAGAGTGCCATTTTATACGTACAGATGTAGGATCTTCATTTGACCCGTATTGTCGCAGCAAAATAATCCTGCAGCAACAAGATTTGAACATTTAGTCCATAATGTTGCTTGATCAGTGGTTAGGCTAGCTAAAATTAGACTACATGAAAATGCAATACTGTTACTATAACCGTGTATTAGTACGGGTTTTTAGTGAATTAATGTAAATCACGAATTTCATCTGCATTTCCAGCAACAAAAGAGTGATCAAATTAAGATCCTACATATGTACAAATGTAGAATCTTAATTTTATCACCCTGTTGCCAGAGAACTTTCTTGACAGGCTTGACTCAGCAGCATAAACTGAAAAAGTCCTACTGAAAAGAAATAGAACGGTCAGTCCATTATTGGCAGAAACGGTCAGAAAACCCAGACTTACTGAACAAAAACAGTCTAAGCAATCAAAGTCAGAGCCGAGGAGCCAGACTTAGACAACAGAGCCTCTCACAGAGAGAGAGAACCAGGTCTTAGATGCCATGCCAGCCAATTGTCCAAGAATTACACTCTAGCTTATTGTGAGGAATGATTGACAGGAATAGGGTTGCAGAATTCCAGGAACTTTCAATAAATTCCCTGTTTTTCCTGAAATCCCAGTTGGGGGAGTCCCTGAATCAGGAATGAATAAGCAGGCCTTTCTTACGCATGCGTTTCTTCCGCACTTCTCAGTAGTTGGTATTCAGACTTACCTTATGCAGGTGTGTAACGGACTTTGCAGGTATGGTAATTCAACCGCTGAAAACCCTCCCACTTGCTGGCCAATAGATTTTCTTGTGTAATTTTCATTCAATACATTCAGTACATTTATCTAAAGCTATCCCTTTAAATTTGGTGTACCATTTAATTTGAATTTTCTTGACAGACTCACTAGAATATATGGAGAGAACGGTTCAGAATATTAGGGATCAATGAAAGAAATCCATGTAAATACTCACATATTCAACTCCTTTTCAGTACCAATTGGTAGATTTAAACCTACTCTGATCTTGTATTATTTAGGTTTAGAAAAACAGGTTTAGAGAGCCTTTACGTACTAAATATAATATTGGTGAATCAAAAATGGTGTTTTGATTTATCCTGAAAGTTGCCGTATTCAATTGTTCAGTCCCTGAAATATTGGAAGGTGAGAAAAGTGTACAATAGGGGTTGAACAATAGTCCTATAAATAAATATACCCTAATAATCCTCACTAATCGTGGAACAGTGATGACAACGGTCCAGTCATTGTGAATCGTGCGCAGATAAACCCTTCCCACTGGGCACCGACATCAATTCAACGTCTATTCCACGTTGGTTCAACGAAATTACGTGGAAACAATGTTGATTCAACTAGTGTGTGCCCAGTGGGTTATCATTCCAAGCTCTCGATATGTAGACTACTGTATATCTTGACTTACCCTGGAGTTACCCGTTTTGATTGATTGGGCCTCAAAGTATGTCACTTACGGTTAACCAAAAAAGGCCCTCATTCATATACCATTTCCCTTTCATACTCTAAAAAAATCTGGTTATACATTTTCTTGGTGTTGGGTGTTCTATTCTGCACTAGGTTCACTTGAATAATAGGTTCACTTGTGTAATCACAGTGTGCATTTGAGCATATCAGTTATTAAGTTGAAAGAAGACATTCAGACTGAGACCCCAGTAGTTCCGTGTTAATCCACTTAGTTCCTTACAATGGACAGCTTGAAATTCTAGTCCTGCCCACACCACCACAGAATGCAGGCCTGATGAGATTTCTGGTTTGCCAAGATTTTTAGCGGCATCTCTACAACCGCAAGGAGGGAAATAACTTGGCACCAAAAAAACAGTTCAGACTTCAAAGTATTTTAACAACCCAGCTTCTTCTCAAGTTTCTGTAACCATTTTTAGCTCTTGTTTTAAAGTAACTGTCCAGCGTTTCCAGAGTTCTATGAAGTATGCCATATAATTAATTATAATATGAGTGAAATAGTTTTTCTTCCAAACAATTGCATTTGAGTATGTTAAAAAAAACGGATTTTCTGTGTTTGAATGGTGTGGGTGTAGCCCAACAACAGAATTGTATGGGCGTAGATGAGTCAGTAAAAATATTCACTCAAATAGACCACTGATTGGCCAGCTCAGACAATGAGCCAACCCTGACGTTTTTTAAACGGTCTGTCTGAGATACAAATTTGAGGTTAGGTTTTTTAAGTGTTTTTTTCTCCAATTCATGCTTTGGCCACCAATACGCGTGTAGGATGAGTCAACAACATTATTTGGGTATGAGTTAACAGAATATTAACTTTTAAAAGTGAGATTTTCACTGGACAGTTACTTTTAAGACCTAAAAATCTCATGCACTAACTTTTTGCATTTAAAGAAGATGATAACAGACGAGGATAATTTGACTGAGAATGAGGAGAGGATATGTGAGAGTGAGGTGAGACATGAGTCTGAAGAGGATAAGAATGGGAGTTGAGCTGTACATAAGAGTAAGGAAAGCATCATGTAAAGATGTGAGTGAGAAGAAGAGAGAGTGGATATGTGAGAGAGTGGAGAAGAGAGAGTGGCTATGTGAGAGAGTGGAGAAGAGAGAGTGGAGAAGAGAGAGTGGAGAAGAGAGAGTGGATATGTGAGAGAGTGGAGAAGAGAGAGTGGATATGTGAGAGAGTGGAGAAGAGAGAGTGGAGAAGAGAGAGTGGCTATGTGAGAGAGTGGAGAAGAGAGAGTGGATATGTGAGAGAGTGGAGAGAGGCTGAGGCACTACAGTGGGCACTAGACTGACTCTGCTGGCATGATGTGGGCGGGTCATTGTTCCCCAGGGCATAGGAGGCTGCCAGGACCTGTCAGGAGGCTGGCTGTGGCATTTAGCTCCACTGAGGAGCCATGTTGCTATCTATTCAGACCCTCTGTCCTTCAAAGCAGCTAAAAGGGGACTATTAGCTTTATTAGAGTGTGTGTGTGTGTGTGTGTGTGTGTGTGTGTGTGTGTGTGTGTGTCGGGCAGGCGGGCCACTCCTGGGCACCGCTGGGCTCCTGGCAGTATATTTGTGTGTGATGCTGCTTCTCAGTTCTTTTCCCATCCCCAGGCTGAATGACTATTTGTCCTGCTCATTCTCTCTGGCCTGTGTTTTTATTCTGCTAGCCCGTCTGAATGGTCCGATGCTGATCGCTTTCTCTACACTGTTGTTTGGAGTGTCTGGTCGTGGGGTACTTTCCTAGGATGCCACTGTATTAGACAGCATTTGGACAGAATATCCTGCTGTGTGTGAAGAAGACTTGTTTAAGACTAAGACTGGTGGCTTTCTCCGCTTTCAGTAATACACAACTGCTGTTAGGTCATGTCCCAATACAAGCAGGACATGGTAAACACCCACAAGGAGAGAGATCATCATCGTTGCATGGGAGACCCCATCTGTAAGCACTAAAATGCTGTTGAATGTACCCCCAAATTCACACATTTACTATGATACTGTCATGCAGAATCAATTTTCCATCCCTTATAGACTGGTGAGCACTAATAGAATTCTCAGGCATATCCGCCTCCCTCGAACCCTCTTGAGTTACTTAAGGCTTATAAAATATATCCTTTACTCCATTCCTTTGACATTAAGAACATATGTTTCCCATCAGAAGCAGTCATAATGGCCTTACTGGAATTGAGTTTTGGCATAATGACAGTACTCTGCTGGTGGTTGTGGTTTTGCTCTGCAGGGTGTATGTTCGTGCCTGCTGTTTGCCAACTTCGAGAGAGAACATTTGCGAGTGTAGGGTCTGGAGTAGGTAGCGCTTTGCCTGTACAATATGTTAGATATGTGAATTTCATCAAGATACTGTCTTGCAAGAAGATACCAGCAATGTTGATTCAGATAGAGTTCAGAAGAGAAATACAGTCTGAAATGAGCGGTATGTTATTACATTAATTAAAGGAATGGGAAATATGTCCCATAGAATGAGATGAGTCAGATATAAAAGGAACTATATTTAGTCAGCTCAGACTGAGGGAGAGGTATAGCTATGCAAGGAATCCAGTCCTGGAGGAACAATAATAAAATGGGTCATGGTTCCATGACTTTACTCTGTGAAGCTGAAGCAAGGACATTCCAAGCACCATGACCGCAGAGAGCGCAAAGTGCTAGGCTTGGCTTACAGTAAGAAACTGTGATGATTCACATGTCTTGAGGGTGAGGTCATTGCAGTGAGGTGGGTAGTACTGCACAAAGGAGAGCTGTTCAGTTCTGCTGACTTGAATCAGCTTCCATCCACTACTCCTGAATCCCATAGCTTGTGACAGCGAGTGCAGTAGACCTGGGCAGGGAGCAAGCTCTTTTGACAAGGAACAAACCCCTCTACTGGTAGCAGTTTTCTACAATGAGTTACTCTGTCATCACATTTAGCTCCTATGAGACCCTAGAGACAAGATAGTTTTCACAGACATTGAGGTCTGTTTACACACAGATACTGACCCCTGCTGGTTACATTGACAACCTCACCTCTTAAATAGTGTTTGCCAATGTTATTTTTTCCCGGAAATTGTTTTGTGGTTAGTGCTATCCGGGATCCTTGGGACGTCTGTACCCTAACCTTAACCCTAACCATTTTACATTTCAACTTCAATGGGGTATTGTCAGAGTTGGGACGTACCAAGGATCCAGGATAACATGTACCATTGATTTGTGGACCCCTGATGTACAGAATAGGTTCATGATAGGTATACTAATTGTAGACGATCACTCCTGTCCCTATGCCCTATGTGTGTGGTTTCAGTTTGAAGGCTGTCAGAAGGCTTTCTCTCGGCTGGAGAACATGAAGATCCACCTGCGCAGCCACACTGGAGAGAAGCCTTATATATGCCAGCACCCCGGCTGCCACAAAGCCTTCAGCAACTCCAGCGACAGAGCCAAGCATCAGCGCACACACCTGGACACGGTGAGTTGAGTGGCATAACACAGACACACAGAAAACACACACACCGAAAGTTGTTGGTTTTGTGACATAATTTATAGTTGTTTGTGTCCGTGTGTTTGTGCAGAAGCCGTACGCGTGTCAGATCCCTGGTTGTGTAAAGCGCTACACTGACCCCAGCTCCCTGCGCAAACATGTCAAATCCCATTCCTCCAAAGAGAGGCAGTTGAGGAAGAAGGTCAGTATTGAGCTGCCTGGACTCTACTCTTAACAGTTATACCTGATAATCAGCTCAATCACACTTTGCAGTCAAAGGATCCACTTGGCTTAATCACAGTCTCAATGTCTCTTTAGACATTCTCTCTCTTTCACTGCCTCTTATTTTTCCTCACTTACTGTAAGTGACATGGACACTTCTGTTGTATCACAAACACATCCACTCGTACAATACACTAAATACAGTATGGCTACACATAATATTGTATACATCTTCACTAGTTAGTTGATTTGCTTTGCTGCGCTGTAATACTCAGACCTTATTAAAGTTCCTGTTGGTAAAAATAATGCTCATTAACTCAATCTTCGAGTTAAGGTTATGTAACCATAGATACAACCAGCCACAGGAGGTGGGTTGTTTCTATAAAAACGAATGTTTCTATAGTTTACGAATGTGTGCTCCCACATTCACAGCTTCTTTCATTAGCAAGTTACTGTATTCTCTACTTGCATTTATGCTGATCTCTGTACCTCTGTTTCTATGTGATTGGTCTAAAGCTGAGGTCATCTATTGACATGAGCCAAGAGGCATTAACGGACTGTCTAACCATCCAACCCCTGCAACCCAGCCTCTCTCCTCTGGACATGATTGACAGCAAGCTGGGCCAATCACCAATACCTTCCCTAGATCTCTACACAGGTACACATTTTTCACATGCATTGACGGTGCCTTTAGTACAGTAGTTCTAGCAAATATAGGCTTACTCAAATGTGAAAAGACATGGTTTCATACACTATATCTATATATATATATATATATATATATATATATATATATATACAGAAGTATGTGGACACCCCTTCAAATTAGTGGATTTGGGTATTTCAGCCACACCCGTTGCTGACAGGTGTATAAAATCGAGCACACAGCCATGCAATCTCAATAGACAAACATTGGCAATAGAATGGCCTTACTGAAGAGCTCAGTGACTTCAACGTGGCACCGTCCTAGGATACCACCTTTCCAACAAGTCAGTTCATCAAATGTCTGCCCTGCTAGTGCTGCCCCGGTCAACTGTAAGTGCTGTTATTGTGAAGTGGAAACGTCTAGGAGCAACAACGACTGAGCCGCAAAGTGGTAGGCCACACAAGCTCACAGAACGGAACTGTTGAGTGCGGAACTGTCACTACCGAGTTCCAAACTGCCTCTGGAAGCAACGTCAGCACAAGAACTGTTCGTTGGGAGCTTCATGAAATGGGTTTCCATGGCTGAGCAGCTGCACACAAGCCTAAGATCACCATGCACAATGCCAAGCGTTGGCTGGAGTGGTGTAAAGCTCGCCGTCATTGGACTCTGGAGCAGTGGAAAGGCGTTCTCTGGAGTGATGAATCACACTTCACCATCTGGCAGTCCGATGGACGATTATAGGTTTGGCGGATGCCAGGAGAATGCTACCTGCCCGAATGCATTGTGCCAACTGTCAAGTTTGGTGAAGGAGGAATAATGGTCTGGGGCTGTTTTTCATGGTTCGGGCTAGGCCCCTTAGTTCCAGTGAAGAGAAATCTTAACTCTACAGCATACAATGACATTATAGACGATTCTGTGCCTCCAACTTTGTGGAAACAGTTTGGGGAAGGCCCTTTCCTGTTTCAGCATGACAATGCCCCTGTGCACAAAGCGAGGTCCATATAGAAAGGGTTTGTCGAGATCGGTGTGGAAGAACTTGACTGGCCTGCACAGAGCCCTGACCTCAACCCCATCGAACACCTTTGGGATGAATTGGAACGCCAACTGCGAGCCAGGCCTAATTGCCCAACATCAGTGCCCGACCTCACTAATGCTCTTGTGGCTGAATGGAAGCAAGTCCCCGCAGCAATGTTCCAACATCTAGTGGAAAGCCTTCCCAGAAGAGTGGAGGCTGTTATAGCAGCAAAGGGGAGACCAACTCCATATTAATGCCCATGATTTTGGAATGAGATTTGAGACGAGAAGTGTATGTTCTTATACGCCTTAATTTGAGTCTGGGTTACAGGCTTATGTTGTGTGTAGCCTTGTCCGTTGTATCCATATCTCTCCTTTGTTGTCTGTGTTTGATAGATCTGCTGACCAGTGGGCAGTCTAGCCACTGTGTGTCTCTATCCATCCCTGTCCCTCCAGCTGTTCCACAGGACCAACCCTCCTCAAACGGCTCACACCTGGCTCTGCTGCGCCCCCAGCAGGACAGTTATAGGTACTGCAGCCACACATCAGAACGACTATTATTAGTCTTCTAATCTGAGTTCACCACATACGTTTTTTCAGCTTTGACTGTGAGGCAATGCTAGAGTTTGTTTAATGTCACTGCCAGTTTTACATTTATATTTGGATTGAACATTTGCATTTAGGATAAACAATTGGTATTCATACAATGGTGTTTTTCCTATGGTCAGATTATGAAAATTCATAGGCAGCTGTCACAACCTGGACCATGCTAAACTTCCCTGACTTCTGTCACTTAGTATGTGTTGTAGTTATGTGGAAATAATTTTCTAAGACATTGATGGCGAGAACATTTCCATTTTAAAACTATGTGTGCATGTTATACTGTAATTCTGTCTTAAACGTTAAGAAGTGTAAGAGACAGTCTTGAACTAGAAAAGTGGGTACTGTTTAAACCATTCATCATAGTCATATTTAGTCACATATTTATATCGCTGTAATGACATATTCTCACCATAAATGCAGTAATCTATTTATAATAAACCAGTGGAGGCTGCTGAGGGGAGGACGGCTCATAATAATAGCTGGAATGGAGTATAATGGATGGAATGGTATTAAACACATGAAAACCATGTTTTTGATACCATTCCATTTACTCCATTCCAGCCATTATTATGAACCTTTCTCACCCCAGCAGCCCCCACTATAATAAACATATATGAGTAGGAGTCATGCAAGGATGTCTATAACTGCATTCAATGTGGTCCTCTGTAGCTCAGCTGGTAGAGCACGGCGCTTGTAACGCCAAGGTAGTGGGTTCGATCCCCGGGACCACCCATACACAAAAAATGTATGCACGCATGACTGTAAGTCGCTTTGGATAAAAGCGTCTACTAAATGGCTTATTATTATTATTATGTTCCTTCCTTGAGACTCTGAGAATTCAGTAATTTTCCCAGGTCTTGTGTAAATGTTGAAGCACTTACATTTCATGTGTAGTTAACTCTTTAGTTGATTTAACAGTATATCTAACCCAAAGCAACAATCCAAATCAGTTTATTAAAAAGAGTCGCTGTGTGATTATTTCTTTTTGTTACTTTGTGGATAGTTGTGGACCGTGGTCCTCTGTAGCTCAATTGGGAGATCATGGCGCTTGTAACGCCAGGGTAGTGGGTTCGATCCCCGGGACCACCCATATGTAAAAATGGATGCATACATGACTGTAAGTCGCTTTGGATAAAAGCGTCTGCTAAATGGCATATTATATTATTATTATATATGTGTTTCATAGTTATGACAAGTGCTGGCTAATGAAAGTTCTGAAGTCATTGCCTTGAGAACTGTCTTTCAGTCTCACTCCCAATGATTTATAATATATACACTAGATGACTGATGTGGGTGCTCTTTTGAAGCCCCCGCACCTCTATCTTGGCACCACCGGCAGTGTAAAAAATATTTTGGAAGCTATAGAAATGCATTTATTAATGTCAACGTTTGTTTTTGCCAGTTCTGTTACTGTCCCCACTACAACAACAAAATACTTCAATACATACACTATATATACAAAAGTATGTGGAGACCCCTTCAAATTAGTGGATTCCGCTATTTCAGCCAGACCCGTTGCTGACAGGTGTATAAAATCGAGCAATCTCCATAGACAAACATTGGCAGTAGAATGGCCTTACTGAAGACTTCAGTGACTTTCAACGTGGCACCGTCATAAGATGCCACCTTTCCAACAAGTCAGTTCGTCGAATTTCTATCCTGCTAGAGCTGCCCCGGTCAACTGTACGTGCTGTTATTGTGAAGTGGAAACATCTAGGAACATCAACGGCTCAGCCATGAAGTGGTAGGCCACACAAGCTCACAGAACAGCGCGTAAAAATCGTCTGTCCTCGATTGAAACACTCACTACCGAGTTCCAAACTGCCTCTGAAAGCAACGTCAGCAAAGAACTTCGTTGGGAGCTTCATGAAATGGGTTTCCATGGCCGAGCAGCTGCACACAAGCCTAAGATTATCATGTGCAATGCCAAGCGTCGGCTGGAGGGGTGTAAAGTTTGCCGCCATTGGACTCTGGAGCAGTGGAAACATGTTCTCTGGAGTGATGAATCACACTTCACCATCTGGCAGTCTGACGGATGAATCTGGGTTTGGCGGATGCCAGGAGAACGCTACCTGCCCCAATGCATAGTGCCAACTGTCAAGTTTGGTGGAGGAGGAATAATGTGCTGGGGCTGTTTTTCATGGTTCGGACTAGGCCCCTTAGTTCCAGTGAAGGGACATTTTAATGCTACAGCATACAATGACATTCTAGACGATTCTGTGCTTCCAACTTTGTGGCAACAGTTTGGGGAAGGCCCTTTCCTGTTTCAGCATGACAATGCCCTCGTGCACAAAGCAAGATCCATACAGAAATGGTTTGTCGAGATCGGTGTGGAAGAACTTGACTGGCCTGCACAGAGCCCTGAACTCAACCCCATCGATCACCTTTGGGATGAATTGGAACGCCGACTGCGAGCCAGGCCTAATCGCCCAACATCAGTGCCCGACCTCACTAATGCTTTTGTGAATTCTATTCATTCTACTGCTCCTTCTGGGGAGTGCCAATATGGCCGACCGGTGGCTTCAAAGCCTCTCACTGGCCAATACATAGCATCAGCAATCCAGGGTTTATATACATCATTGCTTTTTCCCCTACTGGGTTACCGATCAACAGCGTTCTTGGTATTCTGCAGGTGAAAATTATACCTTTTTATATAGTGACAGACCTTACCTACAGCAGTCCTGTTGAAATCCACAGTCCCTTCAACATACTCTATTGATGGCTCCTGGCAGATACTTATTTTCTGTCTGTGTGTCTAAGACATTGATGGGCAGATATGTGTTTTAATGGCATCACTGGTTGCATAATGTCCGACTCTGACAATGTGTCAGACAATGGTGAAATAGATGGTTATATTTAAAGTGGTTTGGTTTTTGAACCGTGTTCACATCTACTTTCTGTGAAGAGAATCTGCAGGCCCAGTTGCATCTGTTGGGCAAGCGACTTGCTATTTTCTATTCATGTTCAGTTCCCATTGGCACAGTCACTGTAGCCATGACTGATTCAAATGCCTCACCCCTTTTCTCTCTTTTTCTTCTCATCTGCAACAAATACGTACTTAAACATTGGTTGTCATGGCTTTATGGCAGTAGGCTCATAGTTAGAATAATCTGATTTAAAATAGAGCATCATTTTCTCCCCTTGTGAAAGACTCCAAAAGGCTTTTTGTGGCACGCTGCACCTCAGCTGTGAAGAGAGCTGTTGAGAAGAGGTTTTACAGGTTGGGATTGGCCAGCAACACTGTTGCCTGGTCAGCCCACAAAAAAACATAACTTCATCCATGCACTTCAAAGGCGGTGAGAAGGAGGGTTTTCTGTCGTTTTGGGCAGTCAGATGCTCATGGCTTCTCACTGACACTGATTGTCCTGGTAGCAGCAGTAGGCTGCAGCATTCACCACGGGATTCTGGGTACACAATCGGCCAATGAAAGCACTGGTCATTGGTCTCAAGGACCTGCATTAGTGGAAGCTATAGCCACCAACTAGAGTGGCTCAGGAATTCAATAAGTGAATCATAACATCTGAAAAATACCATTCAGAGGCTCTGGGAAGAGGATTGCTGTAATTACCTTTCTAGATGTTAAATCGGTTGTAAAATCCCTGTTGCCATTTTCTTCACTGCCGTTATGTGATTTCGTTATTCCCTCATTCAGCCTGTGCATCGTTATTCCCTTAATCAATTGCATTGTAAACACCTCAATTATTTTAATTACACTGGTGCCAGTAAGAAAAATGAAAAAGGTTTACAGCTACACAATAAAAGCATTCATCCAACTCATTGTTTGGCCTTTCAAAGCATTTTCTTGTCTCTTACTTTCTGATGCTTGGTATGGGAAAATACGTTTTTTAGTCTTGGCAAACAAACAGGTCATTAAGATTTCTCTCACATACCGTCTGCCAAATAAGAATCTTCTATCTGTGCTTAGTTCAAATTGGTTATTTAAAGTTGGAGAAGTGTGCTATGTTACTACCCTCAGTTATGAAGTAGCTGCCTCTTTTAAACAGACTTCTACTTGTCAGCTATCAGTGTCTTTTGACTGAAAAAGCTGTCAGTGGTTTGAGGCAGAGAGTGGCATTCACGGCATCATGATATTGTGTGTCTTTTGACTAAAAGAGCTGTCAGTGGTTTGAGGCAGAGAGTAGGGTTAACAGCATGTTATTGTGCAGTAGGTATGCAGGTGAAATTACAGCGAGCTCCAAAGGTATTGTGACAGTGACACATTTTTTTGTTGTTTTGGCTCTGTACTCCAGCACTTTGGATTTGAAATGATACAATGACTATGAGGTTAAAGTGCAGACTGTCAGCTTTAATTTGAGGGCATTTTTTTGTCACCTTTATTGTAAATAAGAATAGAAAACACTTCTACATTAATGTGGATGCTGCCATGATTACATGGGGTATGATATTTGTGCATCTGTAGGCCGTCATTGTAAATACGAATGTTCTTAACTGACTTGCCTAGTTAAATAAAATTTAATATATAATCAAATCTGTAACTTCCTCACGATTCATTATTCACGATTCATTCAGGATTATCTGTAGGCTAATCATGGTAACATCCACATTAATGTAGAAGTGTTTAGAAACATATTATATTCTTATTTACAATAAAAGTGACTCCAAAATGACACAATACATTATTCACCATTCATTTCTATTGGGCACAAAATAATCTGAAACACAACCAAAACAAACAGCAAATGCATCCAACCCATTTTTAGAGTCACAAGCTTGATGTTGTCATTGTGTTCTATGAATATGGGACCAAATGCTTACTTTTTACTATTTTAATACACAAGTGAATTTGTCCCAATACTTTTGGTCCCCTAAAATGGGGGGACCATGTACAAAAAGTGCTTTAATTTCTAAACGGTAAATACCCTCAAATTAAAGATGACAGTATGCACTTTAACCTCGTAACCATTGTATCATTTCAAATCCAAAGTGCTGTAGTAAGAGCCAAAACAACAACAAATGTGTCACTGTCCCAATACTTTTGTAGCTCACTGTATGTCTCCATCTGTGACTGTATGTCTTATTTGAACAACCTAATATTCACTCATCTATTTGAAACATTTCAGGTTTGTCGATAGGTCCACCCACCACCTCAACCCCGGGTCCCACCAACACCAACTGCCTGGCCCCTCCAGTCCTCACACTCACCATCCTACTGGCTTATCCCTAAAGACCAGCACACCCCTGAATCATCCCAGTCACACTCCTGTAGTAAACACAGACCAACACCCAGGTAAATGACACCTACTAACTACAGGTACCTCATATACTGTATGTTCGCTGCATTAATATATTAGGTGTTAATGTACTCAATTGGTGATATCCTTTCTTGGAATGTCAAAAGTGACATTCGGTAATGCATCACAGAGATCTGCATAGAATTACACCTACACCTACAGAGGGGTTTAGCTTATTGACTGTGGAAATGTGCCTGGGGAAAGAAAACAATTGGACAATTCCTCAGGGAAATTTCTACTCCGCAATGAGAGTTATTGTTTGTTTTATTATGAAAAAGTCTATTAAAGAATTGTGTGGGTGGTTTGACATTCTGTAGGTTGATCTTGGCTTATTTCTATCTGTTGTGTAGCTGGTGGCTGATGTTTTTCTCTGTAGGAAAGAAGAAGCAGTTTCACTCTCTAGATCATAGCTTAAAATAGTAAGCACTTTTCCCCCCACTGGACAGCAGCACTTAATGTTGACAATGTGTTCACACCGTTTCTATTGTTTTTATATATCAGATTAATAGTAGTGCTTCAATAAGATGGTGATTGTAATGGTTCATAGAACTTCAACTGAGTATTATTACTATTATTACTTTTATCAATACCGTATTTAGAAATCGATATGACCTCTGTTTTTAATATGTCTACATATGCATGTTCCCACTGGGCACACACTTGTTGAATCAACATTGTTTCCACGTCATTTCAATGAAAATACGTTGAACCAACGTGGAATAGACGTTGACTTGACGTCTGTGCCCAGTGGGTTGCCTGTTTGTACAGTGGGGGAAAAAAAGTATTTAGTCAGCCACCAATTGTGCATGTTCTCCCACTTAAAAAGATGAGAGAGGCCTGTAATTTTCATCATAGGTACACGTGAACTATGACAGACAAAATGAGAAAAAAAAATCAAGAAAATCACATTATAGGATTTTTTATGAATTTATTTGCAAATTATGGTGGAAAATAAGTATTTGGTCAATAACAAAAGTTTCTCAATACTTTGTTATATACCCTTTGTTGGCAATGACACAGGTCAAACGTTTTCTGTAAGTCTTCACAAGGTTTTCACACACTGTTGCTGGTATTTTGGCCCATTCCTCCATGCAGATCTCCTCTAGAGCAGTGATGTTTTGGGGCTGTCGCTGGGCAACACGGACTTTCAACTCCCTCCAAAGATTTTCTATGGGGTTGAGATCTGGAGACTGGCTAGGCCACTCCAGGACCTTGAAATGCTTCTTACAAAGCCACTCCTTCGTTGCCCGGGCGGTGTGTTTGGGATCATTGTCATGCTGAAAGACCCAGCCACGTTTCATCTTCAATGCCCTTGCTGATGGAAGGAGGTTTTCACTCAAAATCTCACGATACATGGCCCCATTCATTCTTTCCTTTACACGGATCAGTCGTCCTGGTCCCTTTGCAGAAAAACAGCCCCAAAGCATGATGTTTCCACCCCCATGCTTCACAGTAGGTATGGTGTTCTTTGGATGCAACTCAGCATTCTTTGTCCTCCAAACACGACGAGTTGAGTTTTACCAAAAAGTTCTATTTTGGTTTCATCTGACCATATGACATTCTCCCAATCCTCTTCTGGATCATCCAAATGCATTCTAGCAAACTTCAGACGGGCCTGGACATGTACTGGCTTAAGCAGGGGGACACGTCTGGCACTGCAGGATTTGAGTCCCTGGCGGCGTAGTGTGTTACTGATGGTAGGCTTTGTTACTTTGGTCCCAGCTCTCTGCAGGTCATTCACTAGGTCCCCCCGTGTGGTTCTGGGATTTTTGCTCACCGTTCTTGTGATCATTTTGACCCCACAGGGTGAGATCTTGCGTGGAGCCCCAGATCGAGGGAGATTATCAGTGGTCTTGTATGTCTTCCATTTCCTAATAATTGCTCCCACAGTTGATTTCTTCAAACCAAGCTGCTTACCTATTGCAGATTCAGTCTTCCCAGCCTGGTGCAGGTCTACAATTTTGTTTCTGGTGTCCTTTGACAGCTCTTTGGTCTTGGCCATAGTGGAGTTTGGAGTGTGACTGTTTGAGGTTGTGGACAGGTGTCTTTTATACTGATAACAAGTTCAAACAGGTGCCATTAATACAGGTAACGAGTGGAGGACAGAGGAGCCTCTTAAAGAAGAAGTTACAGGTCTGTGAGAGCCAGAAATCTTGCTTGTTTGTAGGTGACCAAATACTTATTTTCCACCATAATTTGCAAATAAATTCATTAAAAATCCTACAATGTTGTTTTCTGGAATTTCTTTTCTCAATTTGTCTGTCATAGTTGACGTGTACCTATGATGAAAATTACAGGCCTCTCTCATCTTTTTAAGTGGGAGAACTTGCACAATTGGTGGCTGACTAAATACTTTTTTTCCCCACTGTATATAACGTTTTCGTGTTTATTGTTCACCTGCCTGGGGACTGCAGATGTAAATGAGCTGTTAGCTCTGGTGCAACGCATCACTTCTCACTTCTGAGACGTATGTTTTGTTGTAAATTGTCCCTGTTCAAATCAAATTTATAAATTACATTAAAATAAAGCCAAGGTGGTTCTGAAGAAATAACAATGAATGAAGGTGAAACATCAGAGAATTAAAACAGATACTACAGTGTCCCTCTTCATCTATTAGGAAATTAAAATAACAAGAAGTACCTGTTATTTTCCTCCTCAGGTTTTAGTGGTCAGATCCAGATGGTGTACTCTCCATCATACAATAATGGTACACATAAATCCACCAAGCAGACAAACTTCTGTCACCTGATGGAAATCCCAGAGTTTGATGAAAGCCTTGCGCCAACATTCACCACTCAGAACAGACTAGACATCTCCCAACGAGCTCTGTCTGGGCTCACAGGTAATAAAGAGACATAAAGGACAATTAGAGTACAGTATGGATCAACATGCATTCATTTGCATCTATCTTATAGTAATGACTCTGTTTGTTATTGTTGCATCCACAGTATATGACCTGCAGGGTGCATCACAGGATCTGCTTGTTAACCCGGTGCCAGTGATGTCAGAGGACGCTTATTTACATGTCAGTGCAGTGGACCGTTGCCCTAGCCAGCTCTCCTGTATCTACACTGAGGGGTGATGTCAGCAAATCTACCTCCTTTCTAAGGCAGATACTTTCTGGAATGCAACTCCTACAACAACATTGTTCTTCAGCTACATGTTCCCTGACATTGACCTGAGTGTGATGCTCATCTTGGGTGAGAACTGTAGACAAGAGGGGACATTCAGTAGTTTTAATTAAATGGGCAAAATGAACATGTCCACAATACTTATTAACTGATATTAGTCAATGAACATTGTTTTCAAAATGGCAAGTCATGATAATTCTGAGATCCTTAGATGCTGTCTTCATTCATGTCAGTATCATCAGATCTCAGAATCTAAGCCCACAATGAAATATGCCTCCTAAAGATTGTATACTGAAAAAAAATCACAGTTCTGTGGATGCCAATGATATTGAGCTTTGGATGATTTTTTTATGTTTACATTAATTGAATGCATTTGTACAGTTATCGAAATATTGTCCCTCCTTTTATGTAATTATTAAATGTAAATACCATAAGAAGCACATTGAAGGCACGTTGTTTTGTTTTTCATGTTTGTTCTTCGTAGCATATGAATTAATTACGTGAAACAGAATGTCCTTCGATAAATCAAATATATTTTTGTGCAAATATGTTGAGGAATCTAACTTGAATTGTTTTTTCTGCTTGTCAGAATTTAAAAACATGACTGAGCATAGAGAAAATTGGAGGTTGTTGTAAGAAGGCATGTCTATCTACTATTATACATAGTTGTGTAAGAAGAAAAGAAAGCTTGTAATTTATTACATTTAGTTGCATTGGTAGATGATGAAACCCTGATATTTAATTTGGTCCTAAACAATAGAAAGTATCTAGTGTAAATTGCATGTAATTATTTAATGACAAAGTAACTTCTATTACAGAAGTAACCCTAGTTTTTTTTTTTTTCAAGTCTCTGAAAATGCCCTTTATTGGTTGGATGGAATAAAGCAATTATGTATTGAAAGGCATCACAGAAACTATAAAATGTCCCTCAATAACATAGACATTTGTCTAACAGGTTCATTATCCGTATCAGGTAATGAGATTATGTATATCACTAACACACAAGATCTGTCTGTAGCTTTCAAGTTTAGGTTGGCTTGAAAATCACAGGTGTGTGTGTGCGTGCGACAATGAGAGTGTGGGAGGGGGTTGCCTCCTTTCTTTGTTATCTCAACCACTCTTTATCACCCAGTTGTGTAAGGTAGTCCCGCTTTGGGAAAACAACTTGATTCAATGAACTAATGCGATTATTAATACTGTTTTCCATGTTGTAATGTGCGCATAATGAACAATTCTGTGATATTTATATCCGCAATTTTCATACATTAGATTAAATGAAACATGAATAGTATGACCCGATCCACCTCAATGTTTCCAGACGTCCCACGCTCTGCAGCAGAGCAAATTGACGCTCTGCAGCAGAGCAAATTGATGATTCACTATATTGATGTTAACACCCTCCTTAATTAATTGCAATACCGCTTATAATACTAAAACTGTTTTTCTTGTATCATTCTTTTCTCAGCAGCACATCCATCCAATACGCCATCCTTGTAGCTCCTCCTACAGACGACTCAGGTTAGGTTGCGCGGGGTGAGTTTTATAGCAACTGTTGCCCTGTGAGGCAGCGCCATAGTCACCGTAGTCCTGGCGACTGTAACTCACCAACAACAACAACCTCTCGTTCCATCATTACCACCACACCATCCTCATCAACCAGTCTTCAGCCCAGGTTTGAATATACTTATATTTATACCAGCATGTGTTCTCTATTTCACGCCGAAGGATTCTACTTTATAAAATGTCTACCGTGCTATTTTTGTCATAAGCAAGTTAATGTCTACTCTCCTTTATTACATGGTTAGCTAGCTGAGCTAACGTTAGGTGTTATTTCCTTCCAGGTAACGTTAGAAAGCAAGGTGCTTATTTGCGAAAGTAGCAAGCTAATAAACAGCGTTTATACCCCCAATTTTTTTATTATGTTGGGTAACTAGCTAACGTTAGCTATCCTACCCAAGTTTGCTGTGGCTCATCGGCCGTGCAATGACAGCTAACGCTAGCTAGCCAGCTAGCTTGTTTTGGCTAACGCTAGTTAACAACTAGCTAGCTCCAGTCAGAGCAGGTGTCTGATTTGTCTTTCAATGACCATCGCTAACTTCCTGGTATGATGGCTGTCAAGATACCTCACATTTTCAATAATACAAAAAATGGGTAGTTTTGGCATTTTGAAACAATTCGAGCTACCATCCTCATTCAGTAATTGTTGCTAATTGAGGTTAGCAGTAGCTTCTCCCTTTTGTCTTTTGCTTGCTAGCGTACACTTGGTTAGCCAGCTAGCTTCCTTTGTAGCTAGCGTTGCGGAGCAGGTGCCACAAAGGCTTCGGTAGCGAACACTGTGTTAGCGAGAGCGGCTAGCCAAGTTAGCTAGCCCTTTAAATTGTTATTGATTTCAGGTCTCTTTTAAGTTGAACGTGTCATCACAATTACCCGTTAACCAGCTAGTTTCATAAGTCATAACCTATCTATAGCTAGCTAGCTAGCCAGTTTGAAATGCATATGCTATGGCACAGTGCACTAGCTAGCTAACGTTTATAATTGTTTAAGCTGATGCAAGTAAAAGCGACAATAGCTATCACATTGACATTTACCTAAAGTTGTAGTGTGTGTCAGAAAGATGCAATTGTGCTGTGAGCAAGTAGAAGAGTGCAGTTGATACTTGAAGACAAAGCACAAATAATAAATGCAGTCATCTATCAAATTCCTTTAATTGACAAGTTACATTTGGATAATAACTGCTGATCAAACTGAACCTGATGATGACAGGTGTTTTTTTTTACTTACTTGTGGGATTGGGTAGGTTAATAGAAGTGTAACCACCCTGTTTCAGCTGCGTTCTGGACTCGCTGGTCGTCTTCCCCTGCTCAGACGTTGCGTGCATTGTCATCGACTGTGTCATTGACTGACAGATTGCTATAACATATGAGGTGATTGGCTGATACGTAAAATACCTATCCAGGCGTTGTAAGATCTGGCAGATGTCAGCAACACGTGGACAGAGGAACGGGCCCACTGATTCAACCAAGCAGGGGAAATCTGCAAATTTGGCCTAAAGCTTACTGCAAATGACAGTCGTGCCTCTATCTCACAGACATTCATTGCACGGAATACAAGGTTCATAACTTTTGAATATTCAATTATAATTGGGATTGTACCATGGGTTTTCAGATGTCATTTCGTTAGGCCTACATTTTCTGACCCTCCTTGAAAATGGAGAGCAGTATAGAATCGCTGGGACAATGAAAGGGACAGCAGACAGTCAGGTTCTCAAAGTGGGAATGATGATTATATCTGGAATAGGCTGGGTGGCTTTGTAATCATTCTCAGGGCCATATCCCAGTTCTCTCCACTAAAGCATAATTAAAATGGCTTTGAACACACTTTTTTTACTCTCTCAAACCTCTGCAATTTGCATTAAGGTGCACCACAAGTTTTATTAATCTGCAGCATGGAAATATCCTTGGCATCTCTGCTCTGAATGCTAGTTTGGTGTTTGCTCAGTCAAGAGCGGTTTATAGGCCTGCCGCCCAGATTCAAACATGTTTTCCTCTCATGCTACTCCTTACAGACTATTTTTTCACTTGATAAATTATAGGCTACATTATTGTATTATTGTTCACAGCAAATTGTCTATGAAAGTGTAGAGACACATGAATCTCTAAAGATTATCAGTTTCCTCCAAGTGATTTTGAGGCTCTTATGTCCTCTTGGATGATTATACATGTATTTGGACCCCTCTGCTCACTTGTTGTGAGGAAGGGAAAGCTCCAGGTTTCTTTATGTTGCATTATACTTCTTTACAGTCAGGTCCACTGGGTGTTCTCTGCAGCCAGCCGCAGCCCTCTGGTCCCACTAAGGGAGAGGAACAGGTGTGTGTCGAGATGGGGGAGGGGCGACAGGTGCACAGTGGGTCTTGTTGGGTCTCCTGACCACATAGGCCTAATTGTTTGTGAGACACCCTCACATTACCTTTCCCTGACAAACAAGCCAAGAAATTACTGGTACAGTGCCTTCAGAAAGTATTCACATCCCTTGACTTTTTCCCCATTTTGTTGTTACAAAGTGGAATTAAAATTGATTTAATTGTCATTTCTTGTCAACGATCTACACAAAATACTCTGTCAAAGTGGAAGAAAAATTATAACATTTGTATAAAAAAAAGTTTTAAAAAACATCTTGATTTAGATAAGTATTCAATACATGTTACAATTACCTTTGGCAGCAATTACAGCATTGAGTCTTTCTGGGTAAGTCTCTAAGAGCTTTTCACACCTAGATTGTGCAACATTTGCCCATTTATTCTTTTAAAAATCCTTCAAGCTCTGTCAAATTGGTTGTTGATCATTGCTAGGCAACCATTTTCAGGTTTTGCCATAGATTTTCAAGCAGATTTAAGTCAAAACTAACTCGGCCATTCAGGAACATTCACTGTCTTCTTGGTAAGTACAGTGCATTCGGAAAGTATTCAGACCCCTTCCCCTTTTCCACATTTTATGTTACAACCTTATTCTAAAATGGAGTGAACATTTTTTTCCCCTCATCAATCTACACACAATACCCCATTTTGACTAAGCGAAAACTGGTTTTTAGAAATTTTAGCAAATTGATTGAAAACAGAAATACCATATTTACATAAGTATTCAGACCCTTTGCTATGAGACTCGAAATTGAGCTCAGGTGCATCCTGTTTCCATTGATCATCCTTGAGATGTTTCTACAACTTCATTGGAGTCCACCTGTGGTAAATTCAATTGATTGGACATGATTTGGAAAGGCACACCTGTCTATATAAGGTTCCACTGACAGTGCATGTCAGAGCAAAAACAAAGCCATGAGGTCGAAGGAATTGTCCGTAGAGCTCTGAGACAGGATTGTGTTGAGGCACAGATCTGGGGAAGGGAACCAAAAAATGTCTGCAGCGTTGAAGGTCCCCAAGAACACAGTGGCCTCCATCGTTCTTAAACGGAATACATTTTGAACCAGCAAGACTTCCTAGAGCTGGCCGCCCAGCCAAACTGAGCAATCGAGGGAGAAGGGCCTTGGTCAGGGAGGTGACCAAGAACCCGATGGTCACTGACAGAGCTCCAGAGTTCCTCTGTGGAGATGGGAGAACCTTCCAGAAGGACAACCATCTCTGCAGCACTCCACCAATCATGTCCAATCAATTGAATTTACCACAGGTGGACTCCAATCAAGTTGTAGAAACATCTCAAGGATGATAAATGGAAACAGGATGCACCCTG